TTGGTCCAAACTTCATGAATGAACAATTGAGAGATAGTATAAGATATTAAAGTTGAGTGTCTTGATAGACAAATAAAATCATATACTGAGAGTTCATGAACATCCAAAGTGTCAAGTTTTCATTGGGATGAACAAATTTATCCAATAATAAAGTATCTTTACCAAGAAATTGCAACTAAGATGTCATAATCTGAACAACATCATTGGTTGAGAATTTGTTCAAACTCGAATATCATAAATTGATATGTATTGTATAAGATAATAAATTGGAGTATTTTGGTTGAAAAATCTTTACATAAGATTTTATATATGACGTGATAAATCTTTGCGACATGGTTTATGATTATGGAAACGAAGCATTATAAGTTAATGTGTTAACTGTTGAGAATTTTCAATATATAAACACACTACATACTCATTTAATACAAAACATAAAAAAAATTATAAGATCCAATTAGTTTGAATATGTATAAATTAATTAATGTAAATAATAAAATAAAATTCTCGAGCCAATAAAACGCATAAAAAGCTAGTACTATATGATATGCAGAGCGTTCATTGAAGAGTATAATTAATACTAATTCCCCAGTTATGTTTCTTTTACGATGGGATGATGACATCATGATGTGGAGAGTTAGAACAACAATTAGTGGGTAATTAATATATATGATTTATTGTGTATGATTAATATATATGAATCTTTTAATATATTATTATATTGGGTAGAGGCACAATGGTGGTAACAATGAGTAGTTAGTGTTGATATAGACATGAATTTGAGTATAAAAAACAGGTTTGAGAGAGAGAGAGAGAGAGAGAGAGAGAGAGAGACTGATATGATATATGGAGATTGGAGAGAAGAGAAAAGGCGGATATAATTATATTGAGAAAATGAGGAAAAGGAAAATGAATGGTGAAAGAGCCAAAGCGCTTCTCTACCGTCAATTGGGTATATTCCTTCGTCAACAAATATTTAGGCTTCGTTTGCTTTTGGTGATACTTATATCAATGCATTATAGTTAATGCATCATGCATGCATTGTAAATAGCAATATACTTGCAATTAAGAAAAATGATATAATATACTTTATATTATTTAGTTTTGGTGATAGTTATTTTAATATTCAACATCTTATATGACTTTTTTTGAAAAATATCACTTTTTTCCTTGCTTTTACGAGAACATGTATATATAACTAGGGGTATACTTGGAACAAAAAAGGAACCCAACAATCTTCTCAAAACTATATCAACAATCTCAAGTTTTAGTAGAGATAGTACTATCACTCATTTTGAGTGATAGTTTCCATCACATCAAGCAAACAATTCATGTATTGTTTGTGCAGAAAATTAAAAAAAACAATGCATTTTGGACAATACATGCATTGTAACTATCCTAATCAAACAATCACCAAAACCAAACGACAATACTTGTGGCCTGTGGAGGATTGCATCGACTTCGGATGAGGCGGATTTTTTATATATAATTTTCAAATTATAGTTTTAGATTCGTAAATATTCGTGAAACCAAAGATATATGGGATGAAAAATGACATACGAAAATATATTCGTGTGCGGTTCGTAAAAAACTCATGTGTACTATCCCTGGATAATACATAAAGTTCTTGATAAAAATTGAATTATTTTTAGAATATCGATGTTACTTATAAGTATTGTTAAGATATGGTTTATAATAACAAGGAAAATGAGCAAATTATTTGCTTAAGAGATAATTATTGTACTTGGTGGATATGGATGAACGAGTGAGTATTGTGCTAATACTTAAAATACTAAAATCGAAAACATCTTGCCCTCTTTGTCGAGTTTGGAGAAAACCCTCTCAAAAGTAATACCAGTGGGATTTTCCCCTACCAAATCGATTCAAAATCAGTTGGATACCTACAGTGATGGGTTATTTTTTAATCCTATACCCGTGCTTTAATTTTGGTTTGTATTATAATAGGTACATTTATTATGCATTTTTTTTATTTATCAAACATATTATTTTACTATTATTTACACAAAACATACTCTTGTATTTTAAAAACATTACAACCAAGCTCTATTGTTAAATTTTGCGTCCAAAAACTGTTAACCACGATCGAAAATTGATATGGACTACATAAATGTCTAAAATATCAATAATGATTTCACTTTAACATTTTTTTGTTTATTTTGTGCAGCTCAATACTCATAATAATTCAACTTTAGCGATACTTACAGAAATAAATATAAAGAAAAAACTGACATTTGTATTTGAAGAAATACATATGTAGATTTTGTTTGGTGCAGTCCTTTTTGCCATTTATACGGTGGTGGTTGGAGATTGTGGAACGGGCAAATGGGACCCGCTAATCACCAACAACCATTTCTCTTTACCTCACTCAACCCTTGGCTTTTGTGGTTGTGGTTGTGGTTGTTGCTAATCCTATTCCTTCCTTCCGTCGTAGTAGTGGCGGCGGCTTTATACTCTTTTCTTGCCCTTCCTTTTCCATTTTCGACATGTGTTATCTATCGTTGGAATCCCATTCACAATAAAGGTTTACCATATACACATTCATGGCCTGAATCCGATTAAAAGGGGGGAAATGGTTTGCTTAGATAATAAGATTAGGAAACTTTGGTGAAGACATGCTTTTAAGTTCGGAGGTGAAAATTGTTATTATGGGGTGTGTACTGTGTACCAGCTCTTTGTTAACGACAATCACGTTTTAATATTCTTTGTTTGTATTTCGTTTATGATTATTCACTTCGTAGTATCATTATTTTCAATGAGTAAATTCTTCATGACCTATGAAATAACTCTCACTACAGCATATGACAGGGATCCTATGATGCCAAGTCAAATACTGGTACGAAATATCGTTTGGAATTTTTTTTTTATCTGATTACTCCATCTTTGTAGACGATTATCATGACAAGTGGCCTTGTAAGACAATGATTTATTGAAGCATGAAGGCTTCACTCTATTTCATATTTTTTTTTTTTTGCTCTTATCTCCTATTTCATAGATAATCATTGCTATATTACAATGCTTTATGAAGAATTTGCCTGACCTTGATTGAAGATTTTTTGAAGGAACATGATGTTCTTCCTTCTCTAGAGTTGGTTTCATCGAAACAACACATATAAAAAGGTTTTTCTCCGTCACCTATCTCATTCCCTTTTCTCTGGCCGCCACGCAGAGTACGGAAGGACTTCTTAGTCATTTTCTTTCAAAATTCAGGCGGCTTCTTGGAATAATCTTGGTCCATAATCAGAAATGGGACACTTGCCCTGGAAGCAATGGGCCGATATATGCATATCCAATTATGGGTTACCAGGCCACTTTTCCCTAAATATATGAAATTAGTGGCCGATTTTCTCTAAATTATGTACTAGCCGCATTCTTTTCCCCCATATTACATAATTTTGTGTCATGGGGTAGGAATAATTAATCAGGTAAGGTAAGTATTGAAGCTAATGAAATTAAGATTAATATATTAGTAAGACGTGGCTATTTTAGTCCAGGTTTATACAAAATATTCCAATTATTCTAAAATATGAATTGTACAATGACCATGTTAAAAGGAGAAGCATCGATGATGTTTCAAGTGCCTTGAATTCGAATAAAAAAAATTATTGAGTGATCGAGGGGTTGTTTGATTAATGGATTGTAAATTTATGTTTTAAAGCTATAGATTAATAAATATAATATCCTTGAGCAAATCTAACAAACAAACAAGAAAAAATTATTATTTTGTAAATCCAACATAAATTTAGAGTTTTGTGAAAATCCATATTTTTATCAAAATTCTCATTTTGAAATCCAACAAACAAACAACTTCAATGATAAATAGCATTTATGCCAGTATAATATACTTCAGTTCATAATTTTTAACCGATTCATATAATGTTATTTAATAACTAAGCATTCTATTATACGCAATTTCTCATTCAAATTGTAAATGTGACATATTTGGTCACGTACGCCAAGTCTGAAACCATTATATAGTATGAGATATATAATCTAACAAACGTATGAATCATTAAGAAGCCACATCATAAATTATATATATTGACTCGCTCATAAGTCGTTATTCGAACTCGCTCTTTAACCACACCTTCGAGCCAACTCACTAGTTGAACTCAATGAGCCACTCAATCGAGTTAGCTTGCGAGCCTAATGAGCTGAACAAGGATGAGCTCTGACTCGACTAGTTTACTAACGAGTCGAGTTGGGAATAACATTTTCTCGAATCGAGTGTCGAACCACTCATGAGCAGTTTGACTCACTTACAGCCTTAGTTGGAGAATCTCCATCCTGAATAGTGGACCTGACCCAAGTCCTACAATATAGTCCTGGTCTTTAACTTTAATGCTTTGAGAATTTCATGTCAAACCTGGATAATCATAGGAATGCTTCCCCTGGATTATCTCCAGAGTCCAGAAGTAGTAAACTGCTGCAATGTCTAATCCAGAGAAGAATTAGGTTACCCTGATTTTTTCTTTTTTTTGAAAATAGGTTACGTTGATCCAATGCTATGATTCTACCAAAAAAAATTCTACTAAGTGAAGGCTTATGCATAGAATGATACAAATAGATTCATTTAAGAAATTTAAACAACAAGTCTGGGTGGTGTAGTTGGTTATCACGTTAGTCTCACACACTAAAGGTCCCCAGTTCGAACCTGGGCTCAGACATTTTATTTTGAAGTTTTTTGTTCTGGTCTTCAGTTCGGAGCAGACTTGAGATTCCCAGAGGGCAGAGGCCCATTTTATGGAACTTGGGCCTGGTAATTTCATACGGGCTTACGCGTAATTAAGATTTCGTTGAATAAAGGCCCAGCGGAGCAAAAAATAAGTATCCGGAACGGGGTTTGAACCCGACGTGAATCGAACACGCAACCTTCTGATCTGGAGTCAGACGCGCTACCATTGCGCCACGGATCCGGTTGTTGGATCAATATTCATTTCATGTTATATATCAAGTACTTGTGAAACTGGTGACTAGTCTAAAGCGAAGAGGATTTGTTTCACTCTCCGCGAGCGGTTCAATGGAAGCGGAAACTCTTCTCCATCGTGCCATTTCTTGGAGCTTCAGTCCCCAGTGTCATCTTCCCCATCGGACTCGTCTCCTCCGCCAAGCCGTCCGGGCTTCTTCCTCAAATCCTCGGGTACTTCAGCTTGAATGACCGGAATCCGATTGCTTAGCTTGCTTGTGGAGTTATGCGGTCTGATTTCCTCTTCTCTGTATTGCCGACGCAGTTGAAGAAAAGTTATAAGGGGCCGAAGCCGAAGCAAGATTTGATACCTGACTGGGTGTCTAGGAACGACGACACCGTTCGAAGCTTGCCCATATACGTTGGAGGCGCTTCTCTCGTCGCCGTCCTCGTTAATCGCGCCGTTTCCGGCATAGCTCCAGTTGCAGATGCCAGCAGGTGAAGTTCTTTAAAATCCGCGAAGTTCTCGAATTTTCAGTTATCATTCCATTGTTCGACCTGATCTCAATAGTTCTATGGAAATTTTAGCAAAACTACAGAAACATGGTATAGTAGGGAGTAACTTGGCTCACTCACACTTGTTATCCTGGCATTTCATGTGATGGTGGCAACATTGCAGTTCGCAGTCAAGAGCAGATCTATTGACACTTGGCTTGGCTGTGACCAGTATACTGACTGGCCTGGTATGGCTTACAATCAAGCCAAAGTCTATCTCCGTGGTGAGTTGGTTAGGAATGAGCTCCAACTCTTGGTCCATATCTGATCTCCTTTGTTGAAGTCACTTGGGGTTTAGTGATCTGGTTGTGTATTTCTCCAGGTGAATCCGTTAGGTGTGGAATGTCGGATGATATCGTCTCGCTTGCCTGACCCTTTAATCGCAGAACTCTTATGGTACTTGAACAGAAGTGGTATTCTTGCTCTTTGTTTTCAGGCTTTTCATTTCCAAAGGAGTTAATCGGTTTTGATGTTCCCAGGGTATGGGAGTCTCTATCATCGGTTACATGCTGCAGGTCTCTAGTGGTTGTGTATGATCGTACTTGTATCTTGCAAATTGGAGTTGCAGCTGAGTCCTCTGGTGGAGAAGCACAGGTTGTGGATGCTGCCAGGTTGAGTGAAGGTTCTGTTTATCAAGGTGTTATGAAGTCTGGAAGTCGTAAGTAATAAAGGATATCCTTTTGGTTTGTTTGTTTCTGACTCCCCTTAACATGATCTGAGATTGATGCTTGATTAGGAAATGCAGCTTCTTTGTCCCCTCTCTCTCTATATATCTTGTAAGGGTACTACAGAAATGGCTTGACATTGTCAGTTACTTTTGTGTGTTGATACCTGCGCAGAAAGCTATTTAGCAAACCTATCTCTGTATCCTGGGAGGTCAGAACTGCCATTTTTACCATCCAACACACAGGTGAGCTTGCTGTGGTTTCCCTCCGATAATTCTGTTTGTTCATTGCCTCTTCAGAATTCTGGTTTTATTAATTCTCCACTTTGAATGACGTTTGAAATGCTTTAGGCAGTGATCTTGCAGCCTCTCGGAGACAAAGGAATTGTAATTATTGGAGGTGACATGATTAGGGGTTTCACAAATGCTGATCAGGTGTGTGTGCTTCCTTATTGTCTTTCTACATATCTCCCACACCCACCTCCTCTCTTCTCGTGTCATGGCTCTTTAGCTCCGCCATTCTTCATTCTCTTCAATCGACATTTCTATCCTACCTACTTCCTCCTCTCATTTAGCTGTCCTTTCTGTTTGGTTACAAATATTCCCAACTTCCTGTCTCTGCAGGCGTGGATCACTTATCTTGGAGAAAAACTGGATGCAACAATTGCCAAACATACAATTAGTGTAACCCCCTTAAAAATCCAGGACAGAATTTGAGACCAACTTATTGAGCTTACTTGCTCTCCCTCATCATTCATTTGCCACACCTTCGGTTCAAGGTAACCTTCAGTTTAGCATCTGTGCCATCATTGTTTGATATTCCTTAATAGATTGAACCTCCTACATTCTACCTAAGCATTTCCTTAGTAGCAGTATCTCATGATTATCTACTAATTTTAGATTAGGATGCGGATAGATGACCCTCAATAAGAATAAATAACTTAAGAGTTGAGGGTTAGAGGCATGTAGTTCCCTTAACATCTCTAAGAGGTTTCTGGAATAGTCTGATTGCTTATAGTAGTTCATGTTGATGTCTTTAGGATTGTGTTGCATTATTCTTCATATTGCAGAGCCAAGCCCCTCTTCGAAAAGGAATATTTGATCCGACCCGGCTGTCAGTATGAGTGCTTCCAGAGTAGTTGCTAGTTCATTCTGATCTGTTCTTTATTGCTGGCATTATCTGTATAGTGTTTTAGCAGGGTGTACACACTTTCCCTTGCAATAATAGAAATTACAGATAAGTGAGGCCAGCTTACGGACTTCCTTTCCTTGAGAACCATTAACCTATTTATTCAGATCAATAAAACAACTGGGTGTTCTATATGAACTTGTCTTCTTCTTTTTGTGTGGCTCTTTTCCACTTCAGAATTGTGACAGACGCACCGTACTATCTTATTAGCTTTGCTTCAACCATCTTTTCACGTAGTGTGATGAACTTGAATTTGTGCCTTCTAGTTCACATGCCGAGCAAAATAGTTGGTAACTGTTTTGGTTTCGTTCTAATCTGTTTCAGTATCCTGTTTCCAGGGTCTGCATTTTGCAGCTTCGGGTTTTCTATCATTGCCGGGCAATGTAAGAAGGAACAAAAGAATCGTTTCATTTCAATATGTTTAAACCCTTTACATGTGTATAACAACTGTGTAAAAATCCGCATGTCAGAAGAAGCAGAGTGATTTCCCCTCAAAAAACAGGGCGGGAGGAAGATAATAACTCAAAAAATTAAGCAAAGAATCGTTTGCGCCGGTATACCTCAATACTCAATCTGTGTGTTGTTTTACAAGACACCTCGCCGCCGTCTGCCACTCCAAAACTTAGTGGGGAACTTCCCGATCATCAGCGAGCAGCAGAAGAAGCAGAAGAAGAGCTCCTCTCCCAGGGTAGTAACCCAGTGGCTACATCAGCGAAAGTGTCCAACACAAAGTCCTTGAGACCAGTGTCCCAAACCTCGCAGAACCTCAGCCGCCAGTCCGGCGGCTCGACGGCCTCCGTCCCTAGCCCAGGCGCTCTATCCTTGGATCCTTTGTTCTGATCGTCTTGCCAGTTCGTCACGTAAGTCGACACTCTCCTGAAAAACTTGGCCTTGAAAGTGTCCCACACCTGGTACTTGTAGTGGTTGATCACGGCTGTGCTCTCTGCCACATTCGTCGTCCTGTACCCTTCCCTCAGCTTGAAGTGATGCACGATGTTCAGCAGCGTCACGTCCAGAAGGTCTGGCCGAACGAATGACTTGTGCCTCTCCGGCGCCTGAACCCTACAAGTGTACCCAACCGTCACCCCTTGCTTTGGGGGTGCTGTGAGCCCCGACGGTCCGAAGCTGTGGCACATTGTCCTCACCTCGGCGATCGTGGGCGAGTCGGTGTAGTTCGAGACCAGGGCGCGGAGCGAGTTCTGTCCTGGCAACTGGGTCTGGCTGCCGCGGTGCTGCCGTGGTAAGTAGAAGAACTCGTCGACGTCGAAGAACCCGACCCAGTTGCACTCGTACTTGGCTCTCAGTGCACAGTGCGAGAACCCTGCCTCCTGCGCTTTCACCCACGGCCAGACGTGCCTGGTGACGTTGTGGTTCAGGGAGTTGAGCTCGTCGGCGACGTCTTGTAGCCCATCGTCGCTGTTATTGTCGTAGATGAACCACCGCTCCACCCCCAGCCACGAGTGGTACATTACCCATTCCTTGAGCACCGCCGCCTGGTTCCACAGCATCGTGCAAGCGCAGAGCTCGTACTTCGCTTCCCCCTCCTCTCTCATCCCGTGGGATTTCGGGTTGTATACTTTGGCCACCGATGGCAGAGCAGGGGAGGCTGTGGCTACGCGGCTGACGGTGACGCGGATTCCTTCAGCTAACTCGGTGTTGTTGTTTCGGATGCTTCTGGGCAGCAAGCAGCGGACGACCTCTTGAGCTGCGGCGGTGGCTTCGGTAGTGAAGATGAAGCTATCCTGTTTGTTAAAATGACTCAAAGAAAAATGGCACCTGAATTCTGCCGGATTGACATCCCTATGCGGCTTCAGATTCAGACCTTTCGCCAACACCACCACCGTATTGGAATCCAGAATCGCCTCGTAGACCACCTTCCCCCAATCGGGGACGGAGTCGGCACTGTCATCATCCGCCGTCTGATTCACTGCGCTCCTCATCCAGTTCCCTTCCACGACCTCACCGCCCGTACGGCGCAAATCCGCGGCCGCGGAGAAATTCACAGGCGGGAGCTCGCACCTCACAATCGACTTGCTCTCCTGGTAATCGTCCGCCGAAATAGCCAGCTTCACGAGCATCTCGTCGAGCACGTCGGCGGCGTCGCCGAGCTGGGGGTAGTAGACGCATTCGAAGCTCTCCCCTCTTTGGACTCTGTTGGACAGGACGAGCAGCAGATGGTCGGGCAGCAGAACCCGGCTCTCGATAACCAAAGGAAGGAACTTGCCGCCGCCGCGGAAGTAGTCGTCGGTGAGCAGGTTGGGGAAGACCCGGGTGAAGCCGGAGGCCCGGAGGACCGGCCGGAATGGAGAGCGATCTGAGCCGTAGAAGTAGAAGAGAATGAAGAGAAACGAAGTTATGCCGAGAGTGAGTGACCTGAAAGAGAGGATGAGCTTCAAAGCAATTTTCCCGCCGCTGTTGTTGACTCTCTTCCACTTCCGCCGCTGGTCGGAATCCATTGGCTATAGCAACAGATCCGGAGCCGTCGCCGACAGTGGGTGTTTCCGAGGAGTTCGGAGGGTGGGGAGAGATTCTGGGTTGTCTTGTCGGGGAGAAAATGGTGGAGCACGCAAGGGTGTGATAATAATGGGCGGGGGGTTAAACAATGGCGGCCGGCCGTCAAAAGAGGCAGGCGGTGAGGAATTGGCGAGTTGGGAGGGAGAAGAATAATTAAAAAGGAGAGAGCTAGCTGGGGAAGAAAGACGAAGGAGAGGAGGAGAAGAAGAAGGGAAAGGTGACGCGAGAGTTATGGTGCGTGGTGGTGACGTGACAATCCTAGTTGTCCATGTGTGTCGGATGGGGAATTCTTTTCCGTTTCTTTTTTTAGGATGGTGCGCGTGGTGGTGACATTTCAATTTACCACATACATCGCACTCGTTTGAGGGAATTAAATGAGGGGTTTTAATCAAATGATAATTAATTATTGTCCATTAATGGTGCTTTGGAAACATTGGATTGTAACTTTTACTGTGCCATATGTTGGACGCGGAGGAAGATGTCGACTTAAATAACATACTAAGGATGGGATGGCAATTTGAGGAAGATGCTTTGGAAACATTGTATCATTTGATTTTTTTCTGTGTTGGCGAGTATTATCCGATCTGCACCAGTGCGTGGACGAGTATTGAGTATTATTTTCCCCGTTATGTAATTAATCCGTCATATTTTGAGTTATCTTAATATTTACATTTATCCTATTTTGGATTTTTTAATACTATTTTTAACAAATTTTGAATAAGTGCAAGAATTCTTCTTTTAACAAATTAGACTTAGTTATTCATTTTAGTATCCTTATTTTCATTCATAAGTATTTTTCTTTTATTTTATTGTAGAAAAATAAATTTTGCGTATATTTTCTTCCAAGAACACGTGAGATTGGATCAACCTGTCATGAACTGTATCCATGCATATGTTATCCTATTTGATCTACACTTAGTGAGGGACAAACATCGATATTGAACCCTACCTATGTGAAAATTACCCGACTTGACCCGTATTTGATAAACAAATATACATATTGAGATATTCGTCGCATTGTTATCACTAAGTAACACCAGTTTCGTGTTACATTTGTGTTCCTGTATTTGAGGATATAACACAGTCCTCTTGGACATTCCTATCATTAACACGTAAATACTAAACAGACGAGAGCCTATTTGGGCAGTTACCTTTAGTAGCAAAAGCATTATATGGTCACTTTGGATTCATCTTCAAATGGGAAGGAGCAAACATTTTAAGGGCTGAATTAGGTGAATAAAACCTTGAGCTGAGTCAGATTACTAAACTAGTATTTACCGTATAAAGTAATCGTCATCCGACGACATGTAATGGCAGATAGGGGTGGCAGTTCGGTTACCGGTTATCGGTTAACCGACCGGTTAAACCGATAACCGGTCGGTTATTCACTAACCGATAACCGAAGTAACCGAACTTCGGTCGGTTATCGGAAGCTGGCCAAAATGGTTTTTGGTCTTAAAAGTGGTTCGGTTAACCGATAACCGAGGTAACCGAGAAACCGAAGACTATTTCGGTCGGTTTTCGGTAAGGGTGGTGTTTATTTCGGTTAACCGATAACCGGCCAATCGGTTATCGATTATAACCGAAATAACCGAACTGCCACCCCTAATGGCAGAGGGGTAGCTACAAGCTACCCTACGTGCTTTTTTTGATAGACTTTACATGATCCGGAGAGGGATTAGTTTCGTGATCCCATCCCACCACCTTGACGGTGGTGGCAAAGACGTGACCAGTTACACCCCCAAAAAAACTCAATCACTTAAAGGACTAAGGCTTAAAAGATTTTAATCATAATAGTTGGACTAATTTTATAAAAATCTCGAAATCGTGAAAGTATAGGTTCTTTTGTTAAAGTCGCGCAGCTTCGACTCAAGTCTGGATATAGCACGATTCAATCTTCAAATGAACATAAAAATAAGGGCAATGTCTATTTTTTACCCAAACTTTTTTCGGGTTCTTTTATTTTAACCAAACCTATTGAATTCCTAAAAATTATCCAAACGTTAACTTTCCGTCAACTTTTCTGTTAGTAATGCTGACTAAGTATGACCATAATGAGTTGACTTCCTACGTGGCGGTCAGAATACCATCATTTACTATTTTTAATAAAAAGATTATCAAAAAACAAAACAAAATCCCACCTCTCATGTGGACGAAATAAGTAACGGTAACAGAATGAATGCCCAGACTTTGATAAATTATAATATGTTTGGATAATAAATAGAATTTCTATAGGTTTGGTTAAAATAAAAGAATCTGAAAAAGGTTTGGGTAAAAAATAGACATTGCCCTAAAAATAAAGGATACGTGGGGATAGATACTCGCCACAAAGAAGTAGGATCGCTTGATTGATAAGAGGCTTGATAAGCTCTTCTGGAATCTTCAACGGAAAAACTCAAACAAAGATCTTGCCCTATCTATGGAATCCACCAAAAGGTAAAACAATAAGCACTCATGCTCCTTGGGAAAAAACACACCTCATTGTAAAAATCTTATTCATCAAAACCTAATATGTAAGATTCGTGTTTACAACTCTTTATATAGCCGAGGGCAAATAAAATAATCAAAAACTAAAAAAGGAACAAAAATCTAAACCTAAAAGGAATGTAAAACTCAGTCAAACCCAAAACCCGGTCATAATACCTTTTTGTTAAACCCAATGACCAAACTTGCAATTTACCCTATCAGACCATAAATGTGCATTGTACGGTTCATATCGAGAGGTTGAAACACACACCAGGAACTAGATCAAATATCATATACTCTAGATCATACCATGACTATACTTATTAGCGCAAAGTTACGTTCGTTTAAAGTTTCGGTTTTAGATCAGACGCACCGTGCCCGTCAATCGCGGTGATGCATTCACCGCTTTCGTCTGCCGCGGTGATTTCCAAACATGTATAGATTGTGAATTTTTCATAAAAGGTGTTTATTTTGTGATTAAAAAAAACATGTGTATTTTGGAATATTTTTTTCTCCCACAAAGCTGTCTCTACTTCGGCTAAGGCTCAAAATTGTTGGAGAAAAGGTAAATTAATGGCATCTCAATTCAAATAGCTGAAACAAAAAAAGTGTTGACACCATCCACACGAAAAAAAAGCATCAACCTTCAGTTCAGGAAGTCAATCAGGCGTTAGGTAATCGATCTCAAAGCCCTCATCCATTAGCTTTCTGTCAAATCTTGAGGTGGCTTAAAATCGTATGTTTGAAACGACAAGCAGCTGCGGAGTCGAGCGTCGTGACATCAAATTCCAGGTTGGAGATCGATATGATGTTCTTCCTCAAGCTTCAACCTTGCAGCTACCAAACATTCCTTCTGAATTCCTCTAAGGCCCAAGCATTCCAGAAGCCTTAATTAAATTGCTGGTCGGTTCTACGACCCATACAACTGCGGAGTTCTCATCGGCCCGCAGCGCCGCAGTGATGAACGCTTATTTTGCCAACTGCCATGGACCCAGAGGACAAGCCCTCAATCCAAGTAGGGAGAAATGATGGGCTTCGACAATTCATATGGACATCCTCAGCCCACTAGTCTTGTTGGACTTTGGACTAGGAAGCTATGATGTTTGTTGAGGAAGGCTCGTCCATGGCAAAAGAAGGAAAGATCCGACAAACAAACAAATATCAAAGAAGAAGGTTTTCAAAGTCGACAAAACTTATCAGATATTGGGGGTGTTGACACCCAAAATTATTTTGGCCTTAATTTAATGTCGTATTAATTAGTTTCGACATTTAATTTGATACTGCAGGACAAAAGACGGTGTCGTTTGGAGTTGAGCGGCACCACGTAGAGACAAGCGACACCGCAAGGAAGCTCAGCGGTACCGTGGCACTTGAAACAACATTGCTGTTAATCGGATAGATTAGTTTTGAGAATATGAGTGTGTTAACAGGGAGTTGAAACACTAGAATCAGAAGTAGACTGTTAGGCAGGGACCTGATCGGGTCTGACTTAAAGCTTGTAAGAGGAACAAGTGAAATCATTTTAGTGCTTACGTAGGAAATCTCAAGAAGATAATTTCATACAGTGGATTAGTCGATAAGGGCGTACTATTTGTAGCCCTAAATTATCTTTATTTGTAGTCCTAAATTATAAAAAGTACAATAATACCCATGACATTTAAATAAATTTACTTCACACATTCCAAGACCAAAACATTCAAACACTTTTCCAAACACAATCCTACAATACTCGCCGCCGGCGACCGCCACCTCCCGCCGGCGACAGACCATTTCTCCGACGAGGTACGCCGGCAAATTATCCGACGACGATGGCCGGACGTCCTGCCGGGACGTCGCCGGCGACGGACGAACGTCCTGCCGGGACGTCGCCGGCGACGGACGAACGTCCTGCCGGAACGTCGCCAATTTTTTATTTTATTTTTAATTTTTTGTTAATTTAAATTTGTGAAGTATATTAGATTTTTTAAATAGATATTAATTTAGATTTTTTGGTTATTATTTTAGATTTTTTATAATAGATTTATGAATAATTTAGATTTTTAAGAACATTTAGTGATTTTATTACAGTTCATTATTTTATGAATATTTTAATTATTATATTGTTTATAAAATTTTGTTCTAATATTATTTTAAAATGAAGTTATTGAATTTTAATTTTTCATATTTTGAAACTAAGTTAATGTTTCCTGAATTTAGACTTTTAATTGCCATATTTTAAGAATATGTAGTGTTTTTATTATTGTAATTTATTATTTTATGAATATTGTAATTACCATATTTTTAGTAGGATTTTTTATAATATTATTTGTAGAATGAAGCTCTTTAACTTCATTTTTTATTATGTTGAAACTAAGTTAATGTCTCCGGCGAGAGGTCGTCGCCGGTGAGATATCGTCGTCGCCGGCAAGAATATTTGGGAGGAATCCGGCGACAGTTGAATTGGGAGGGAAGGGAGTGTTTGGTTGGAGTTGTAACAAGTTCAATATTTTAAAAGGAAGGAAGGGTAAAATAGTAATTATATTCTCCTAGGGCTACAAATAAGAAAAAGTTAGGGCTATAAATAGCAATTCAGTAGTCGATATTGGGATCCTTATTCTTCCAATATTGGATACCACGTAAAAATTAGCTTTGCATCGTGTTTGCTTTAGTTTTCGTCTGTGTGTTTTTGTTATTGGCTTTTTTCTACTCTGGTTTGCCTAAGAGCAGGATACAGGGGAGCAGCTGATATAGCTACACGAGGAAGACGACTCAAGTTCAGAGACCTAGTCTGGATCGTTCAAGTCTGGGCCCAAACCAGTAGTCCATCTGACTTAAACGATTGGGCTTTAACCCCACTGTGAGTTTACAACCATAAGTATCATTATTCAGTGTTGTTTTACTGTGACCCCACACGCTTATCTGGTTAATCCGCGAGGATTTCTATGACAAAAAAAAAAAAAAATTCCACTCTATCTTCACCGAGTAAAATCGCCACCATTTGTTACCTTCACTTGTTCGATTAGGGTTTTTACAGATGAAAGGGGATTTCATCCGAAAAATGAACAACTGGTCTCGCGACTCGACCCGATTGCAATGTTCTAATCAAAGTTGGATCCATTAAATCTGGTCCGTTATTGTCTTATTGATCACTCTCAAACTTCGCTTGAACTGGCCTTGGACTTGTTGGAGAACTTTATATGAGCCTGGTTTATTGGGCTCTTTTCGGGTCGAGTTGAAGTCAAGCTTGGCTAATATTTTAAAAGTGAAACAGTTTGAGCTGGGCATTTCAGTGATTAAATGAGTTCGAACTTCAAACCGAACTCGTACTGAACTTTTTTTTTAATCAGCTGAACCGAAGCAAAATTCAGCTCACCAAACTCGTTTGCAACCCAGTGGGAGGCGGGTTCCATCCATGCTTACCTTGACCATGCATACTGGAGTGCTCTTTGTTTTATTTATTTATTTTGCAGGTGTAGATACTCAGCTGGTTTTTGAAGCACGTTTTAAACATGTTAAGCGTGTAACCAGTTTGGAGGTCTTGGGATGGAGAACATGACTGTTGGAGAACGTTTGGCTTTTGCCTGGAGGAGCAAGATTTTTGATGTATTTGCTTTTCTTGTTTGTGGAATTTGATTGAGTTTGTAGTCTGTGTTTGTTCATTTTGCACGTGTCCATTTTGTACCACAAAAAGCTCTCTCGTATTATTGCCTCCATCCCATCCTGCTCGTGGAAAACTACTAAGAGCCCCAAAAGCAAACGAAGAAATTGCAACCTGCTGAAGAAGCCCCAATTTTCCTAATCGCAAATGTTAACCCTTTAGGCGCAAATAATGAAAAGACTGTGATCCTACTTCCACACCTGCTCGACAAACATGACCAACATTCATTCCCAATACATAAGAAGCATTGTGGAGGGGAAAGAAGAGAGAAGGCGCCATTGATGATGATGATAACTTCAGTTTCGTCTCCCTGTACACATCCAATCCAGACGACTCTCATTTCCATACTCTGCTGCAACTCTACCTTCAAGATATCCCTGTGTTTCTTTTTAACTAATAGGGCTCCCGTGTGATCGATCAAACTTGTTTAGCATCTTCAAATTCTCTTTCCAATGAGACTCTCCGCTATGATTTTGATTCAGTAGTAAACCTGATTACAGCAGTCACGAGAATCAGCGAAAGCACTATAATGAAGACATTCAGATTCAATGTTAAACTGAATGGGAATGATCACAAAGGGCCTGAGTGGACTGACATGACCAATGATTCTAATTAACTTGTTATTTACCAATTTTAGATCTGGTACAACAGATTGTAAGACTTCATTCGATGAATCGAATCGATATAGAGAAAAGAGATTTTCGCTTACCTGCCTGCTGCCTCAAGTTTGGTCATGGCACAAACGCAATTGGCGCAGCTGGTGTTTCAGATACCCGCCCTTTGACTACTTGCTTCATCTTGAAATAGTTTGCTTGACATTTGTCTCGGAGAGAGCCCTGCCATATTGGCCCTGCCAAGAACATGAACGTCTTCCAACGAGTTGCCAACAAAACCACCTTTGCTGGTACTATGTCTCTGCTGAAATCTCCTGCCATCGGGGAGATATGCCCCACTATTCCCAAGGCTGTTTCGTGATTGCATTATACGGGACGAAGGGAACCTTGAAGCTGCAGAGTACTGATCGCTGTCTGTTCTTCTCCATAGCTTCGAGCTCAAGAATTCTGTGCCGGGGAGCTTGCAGCATGTGTTATCGGCTGAATCGGTCTCGGGTATCCTTCCTCTTGATACAGCCAGGTCATGTGATATTTCATCCAATGCCATTTCCAAACCATGCACTCTCGTCTCCAGAGAGTTGATCCCGCTCTGAGAGCTCCCCATGAATCTCTGAATTCAAGCAAATAAGTGAATGGCAGCAAAGTCAGTTTGTTTCATGTGAATACAGAAGCAGTTATTAGAGTTTGAATTTGCATTCTGCAAGATTGTTAGGCCTTAGGGTAAACATTTATGCTTCTAGGTGATATGTTGATATGAAGACTAAAAAATTTAGAGTAAGGTGGGTGCTTACATCACACAATTAATACTAGGCCACTCTTCTCTTGCGGTAAAAATTGACTTTGCAGCATGATAGACGACAAGTATGGAATATCTCATTTGACAAAGTATCCCCAAGTTGGAACGGAAGATGTGAATAAAGTATGAACTAAATGCACCCAACAAACAACAGCTAACTGACAAACAGAGTTACTGGGATCCGAACACTGGAAATTGCACGAATTCGACTTGATGTAGACTGTAGAGAGGTAAAAAGGTTAAAAGAAAAAAGAAAAAAATTTTACAAACGATAAGAATCTTGTACCTGGAGAAGGTCCAAAAGATTGGATTGCTGGGTTTCAATCTGAACAAGTTGTTCACGAATCAAGGACAGATCCTCCATCTCTTTGGGATTCTCATACAAATCTTCAGCAGGCTTGTTCAACCCGACTCCTTTGGTGTAACACATTTCACCGTCACCCCCTTCATCATCGTAGTCATAAGGAACCACCCTCGACCCAGATCTGAACCCACCAAATTTGTGAAGCTTGTCATGGCCGCCGCGGGTGCTGCTGCTGCTGAAGAGCACCCGCTTAGTTTCTGGACTCAAACTCCCATTTTTCACTTCCTCTACAGGTTTCAGGACCTTTGGCTCCTGCATCTTGATGTCATCTTCACAGGCCTTCTCCTGTGGTGTTACAGCAACTTCAATTTTCCAATTGGGAGAAGGCCTCCTGTGGTCCACTTTCTGAAACATTGCCGGCCTTGAATTGCTGTCATTACTCTTCACAGGACTTTGCTTCTTGGCTGTGGTCACAACAGGAGAAGCATCCGATGGAGGGGACCTATTGGGTGGTGGGAAAGACTTCCTTGATGAAGAAGGCGTTTTATAACCAACGTTGTTAGAGCTTCTGATGCATCCACCATTACCATTATCTGGTCCCGAGAAGAAAAACCCAAAACAACAAAAGGGCAGAGAAGAATGGGTGGAGTCAAGCCTTGGGAATATTTGTTCCCACTATTGATTGGGATAAGGAAAGCTACTCAAAAAGCTCGAACATAATTACATTATTATGATAAAAGAACACTATCCATTGACAACATTTCCTTGGCAATTCCATGGAAACCTTTCCAATTTCACGAATGATACGTTCCATTGACAGCCATTAAAGAAACACCACAACAATGCTTACCTCCTCCTGAAGAAGATCTAGAGAGGCTTGACACTGAAATCTCTTGGTCAGAACCACCATCTACCTCCTTCCACAACTCCAGGGTACGGTTCATAGTCTCTCGAACAAGCTTTACCTGTTAGATAGGAGAAAGAATCAAGCCAGAACGTTCAGTTTTCAATTCCCCAATCGAACGCCTAATCAAAGAAGAAATCAAAAGCAGAATAGACTATTTGTTTGTTACCTTATCAAACCTCCTGTTCTCCAAAGAGCTCAAACACGAAGTTCTATGATCCTTGGCTGCTTGTTTCTCCGCAACTGCAATCTTCCCCAATGCCTCGGCCGCAGCCTTCCTCGCCGCCCAATCTTCAGAGCTCAATAGGTCAACCAAACAGGGCACTAACCATTCCAAAATGCTCTTACTCGCCGCGCCTCCAACGCCTACAATATTCCCAATCACACTCAACAATGCCGCTTTGGCCTTGAATCCTTCTCCCTTCACCAGCTTACCCAGCCTAGGCAGCACCTTCCTCAGCTGCTCAACCTCCGGCTCCGGCGCCGCCTCAATCGCCGCCGCCAGGCACATCGCGGCTCCGATCTGGGAGTTCAGATCTTGCTCCACCGTCACCATCTCTATGAGCGGCTTCGAGACGGTGGAGAAGGGAGGATGCGTGACCTGAGACGACATGGCGGCGGCGGCCTCGACGCAGGCCGACCGGACGGCGGAATCCGGGTCCCGGAGGCGGCGGACGACGGTGGAGACCATTTTGGAAAGGTGAGGGGACAGCGAGTTCCCGTGGGAGTGAGAGAGGAGCGCCAGCAGGCTCACGCATTGCTTCCGGACGGGGGATTTGGAGGAGGAATCGGTGTTGTGAATGCAGTTGAGGAACGGAGAGAACGAGTCATGAGTCAAGCTCCGAGCGATTGACTCGAGCTCGGCCGTGGCGACGGCGAAGGTGTCGCGGTCGGAGAGCTTGTTCAGGCAGGCTATGACTCGTGGCTTGAGATCGCTGCTCCCGGGACTCGCCGCCGGAGGCGCTGAGATCGGCGAGGATCGTTTCTGCGGCGACATCGTTCCTGTGTACTTGGAAATTTAGTTCTCTCTGTGTTCGCGACTACTTCGCATTGAGTCACCGTTGACGGGACGAGGTTTTCGCCGGAGCCGGTGGCCGCTGCGTTTTTCGGGGGAATTTTTTGAGGCGGTGGAATTTGGCGGAGGGAGAGAGATGGCTCGGTTGCTTGGTAGCAAGTTTAGCGAAGTGTCAGGGAAATAAAGGATTTAAATGTTGCCACCAGCAGCAGCAGCAGGAAAGCAACAATAATTTCTTTATTTTCAATTATTATTATATTTTCTTTCCGGTTCCTCGACTGTATTATTTTTCCAGAGCAAATGATTTAGTAGTTATAAGCGAATCGATTAAGAAAAACGAAAGTCACTAACTTATATATTTTTGGATAAAATCAGAATATTGCTTGCTGGAATGAGTTGTGATTGTGAAGAAGTGTTATTTGGGTTTCTGGAAATTTTTGTCTTATTTCCCCACTTAACATGCAACTAATCATTCAATTTATTCCTCTGCAATAAGATATACAAACGTATAAGTTCGGTCCATATGCGAGAACCATTTTATAAGTACGCGCGGGGATTATTGACACAAATATTGTTTTTTTTTTAATTTACCACCAATATGGCGGATTAAGAAGTATTTACAAAGATATTGTGTTTTTAGCATAGTTTTAGGTGCTGGTGCCTTAGACTAAGGCGCCCCACCTTAGACTTTTTATTCTAACAGTCCTAGGTGCCGGCGCCCGAGACTAAGGCGCCGCCACCCCACTCCTTTTTATTTTAAAAAACCCGCCCACCCCACCCACCCAGCCTTATCTCTTTCTTTCCTTCCTCCTGGACCACACATTCCCTCCCTCCTTCCTTCCCCCTCTCCCGACAGCCGACCCTCCTTCCTTCCCCTCTCCCGACAGCCTCCTCCCCCTTCCACCACCCCTCTTCTCCCGACCTCCTCCGCCGTCGAGACCCACAGTCACCAGGACGAGACCGCCCCAGTTCAAGGCGCCGCCGCCGCTCTGTCAGGTCCCGCCGCCCCAGAGCCAGGTCCCGCCGCCGCTCTGCCAGGCACCGCCGCCGCTGATAAGAGCGAGAGCGCCCCAGTGCTAGGCGCCGCCGCCTCTGCTCTAGGCACCGCCGCCCCACAGTTCATTGCCGCCGCAGCCAGCAGCAGCGCCGCCGCCCGGAGATGTCCTCCGATGAAGAAGAAGTCGCCGCCGGCAGAGGCAGGGGGAGAGGCCGGCGAGGTCGTGGCAGCCGTTTGCGCGGTGAGACTCTCGTCGGCGGCTTGAATGTTTTTTTTAATGGTTTGTGTTTTTTTTAATGGTTTGTTGCTTTGTTTTTGCAGTTCCTAGGCTTATGGATCCGTATTCGATGAGATTACTGCCGGCGACAATTGATACAGGTCCGGTCGATGCGACATTTCTTTGGGGACATGGCTAACATCGTATCGACTCTGTTTGGACAAACGAGGTAAGTATTTGATAATTATTCATGTAAAGCTAATTAGCTAATTAGATTATTTTAGTTGGTGAACTGAACTGTACTGTTAGAGTAGGATTACGTATTAGATTTTTTGAAATTAGTATAATTTGATATTAGATTAGATAGATTATAATTAATTAGGTGAAATTAGAATTATTACGAATGATTCTAATTAGATTATTTTAGTTGGTGAACTGAACTGTACTGTTAGAGAATAGGATTACAGATTAGAATTAATTAGGTGAAATTAGAATTATTATGAATGAAGATGAATTAATATAAGTTTTGTGCACTATAGGCTGGTGATCGATCTTACCATGTTCGAGGTACGACCATTTTAGTACCTTACCACGAGCTTTATCGGCCATATCTCGAAGCGGCAGGCTTGTTAAGTGTCGTGCCCCTAGTCCCTATGAACCCCGATGCGAGTTTGATTACTGCGCTCGTAGAGCGGTGGCGACCCGAGACGTCGACCTTCCATCTACCGTGTGGTGAGATCACGATCACGTTAGAGGACGTTGTTACACTGTCCGGTTTGGCGATCGACGGTGATGCCGTCGTAGTTGATATACCGGATGAGGAGTGGTCGGCGATCTGTTTGCGACTGTTAGGACGGGTTCCTTATGATCTTGTAGGCGGGGTCGCTATTGTTAGGATTGTTTGGCTGAGGGTTTTTGTGCTGGCTGGCAGAAATTCTTGAATTATGAAGACAGTGACCTGGGGCGTATTTGGCTATTTTGGGATCCTGACAGTATAGATTTAAGGGTTCTTGTTCCCAGCAAGAACTTTGTTCATTGCTTGATCAAATCAGTAGATGGTGAATCTTGTTTCTTCACTGCAGTTTACGGGTCCAATGATGAGGTGGAACGGCGACTCACTTATACTGAATTGGCAAGACTCAAGGTCAGTAATCACCCGTGGATTGCTGGGGGGGACTTTAACGCGGTTCTAAACCCAGGGGATGTATCTAAGCATTGTGATTTCAATGGTTGTATGGGAGATTTTGGGAATTGGATGAACTCGATGGAACTAGTGGAGCATAGAATGGTTGGTCCTCAATTTACATGGACGAATAATCAAGTGGGCAATCCACTTGCTAAGAGATTGGATCGAGCTTTTGTGAACGAAAATTGGTTGGATGACTTCCCTGGCTGTCGTATAGATGTTGTGACTGTGCATTTTTCAGATCATTGTGGCATCCTGGTGACTTCGAAACCTGTTCATAAATCTCTTCCCAAGCCTTTTAAGTACTTCGATTTTTGGGCGGACAGTCCTGATTTTCTTCCCTTAGTTAACAAAGCTTGGGAAACACAAGTTGAAGCACACCCTCTTCATCGAGTGCAGCTGAAACTAACTTTGGTTAAGAAGGCATTGAAGCAACTGAACAAGGATAAATTTGGGGACATTAGCACACGAGTTAAGGAGGCTGAACGTGCTCTTCTCTCTGCTAAGGCTGACGCTTACTTGTCTCCTTCAGAGGAATCTTTTGCTTTGGTTTCTGATTGGTTGGTTAAGCTTGATGAGTTCAGGAAGGCTGAGGAGTGCTTGTATAAACAGAAATCAAGAGTTAATGTGTTGGAATTGGGAGATAAGAGTACGAGATTCTTCCATCAGGCCGTTAAGATTCATACAGCTAAAAGGGCAATCCGTAAATTAATCACTGGGACTGGTGAGGAAATTACAGACGTGGAGAAAATTGCAGAGGAGGCTGTCTTGTTCTATAAGAACCTGTTTGGGGTTTGCAATCAGGATATTCACCCGGATAGAGGTCGATTGGAGTCACTGGTTCAAAACAGGCTTGGTGTTCAGGAGGTTGCTTTACTTATTTCTCCTGTTACAGATGATGAAATTCAGTCTGTGGTCCTCCATATGAATCCTTACAAGGCCCCTGGGCCTGATGGGTTCTCGGCAGGATTCTACAGGAAAGCATGGCATATTATCAAGCATGATGTTATTGCAGGGGTGAAGGATTTTTTCTCATCAGGTCGTCTCCCTGGAAGTGTCAATGCTACTGCTGTCTCCCTGTTACCTAAGGTACCTTCTGCCTGTGCTCTTAAAGACTTTAGGCCAATATCTTGCATTAATATTTTATACAAAATAATTGCTAAGGTGTTGGCTAATCGTCTTAAGAGAGTGCTTCCTAAAGTCATTAGTGGGAATCAATCTGCATTTATAGAAGGGAGAAGAATTGTTGACAACATTTTAATGGCACAAGAGTTGGTTAGTGGTTATCATAGGATAAATCTGTCTTCTCGTTGTGCTATTAAAGTAGACCTTATGAAAGCTTTTGACTCCGTTAATTGGGCTTATCTGTTTCTGATGATGGACATTATGGGATTCCCTGCTTGCTTTATTAACTGGCTTAAGTTGACTGTGAAGACTGCAAAGTTCAGTATTTGCATTAATGGTGGGCTTTGTGGCTATTTTGGGGCTCAAAAGGGGGTGAGGCAGGGTGATCCATTATCACCCTACCTCTTTACTATAGCTATGGAGGATTATCTTTACTATTAAATGAGTCTGCTGCTCTTGGCCATCTTCCTTACCATCCCCAGTGTAAAAAAGTGAAGCTAACTCACCTGAGTTTTGCTGATGATCTTTTGATCTTTACTGAAGGGTCGGGGACTGCTATAGCTAGGGTACAAGAAATTCTTTCTGAATTCTATGTCCTGTCTGGTTTGAAGTGCAACCCTGCAAAATGTGAAGTTTACTTTGGGGGGCTGTCAGTGATATTCAAAAGTCGAGCACTCCTAGTGTCTGGTTTTCAGGAGGGGGTACTTCCAGTGAGGTATTTGGGTCTTCCACTGATAACTGGTAAGCTGTCCACTGCTGATTGTGACAAACTTGTAGCCAAAATCACCCACAAAATCAAGTCCTGGAGAGCTAAGAAACTCAGCTATGCTGGGAGACTTCAGCTGGTCAGTTCTGTCCTCATGGGGGTTTTGCAGTATTGGATGCAGGTTTTCTTACTTCCGAAGAAAGTACTCAAACAGGTTCAGAAAATTTGCTCCACCTTCTTATGGCATGGAAATGAGGATGGCAAAGCAAAGATAGGGTGGGACAGGATGGCCAGGCCAAGGCAGGAGGGTGGATTGGGTTTGAAAGAACTTGTTTCATGGAATCAGGCATGCACTGCTCGTATGCTCTGGCTAATTCTGATGCAGAGTGGAACTATATGGGTAGCCTGGATCCAAACTTATAGGATCAAGCAGGGTAGCATCTGGACAGTCAAGTCCAGTCCTCGTGGTTCCTGGGCCTGGCGTCGAATTTTGAAGACAAGACAAGTGCTACAGCAGCATTACTCTGTGCAGGGAGGGGTGGTACTATGGGATCAAGCTCCTATGCCCAGGTTTAGACTTAGTGTTGTTTGGGAGGGTATTAGGCCAAAATGGCCTGTTGTGGAATGGTATAAACTAGTATGGGGCAAAGGCTTTGTTCCTAGGAATAGTTTTCTGGCTTGGACTATTCTGCTTGATGGTATTGTCACGTCTGAGAAGTTAGTGAAATGGGGAAAAGTGTAGATGCTGGTTGTGTGTTATGCAGGCAAGGGATTGATTCTAGGAGCATCTGTTCTTCCAATGTGAGTATGCTAGAGAGGTTGTTCAGGGTCTGCTCTTTACCTTTGTGCTATTCTTCTTGGCAAGCCACTGTGGCTGCTGCCTGTTCTATTTGCAGGAGGAAGAATGGCTCTCTCGCAGGGATGGTTTGGTGTTTCTTGGTTGCCTCGATTTGGAAAGAGCGTTGTCGAAGAATGTATGATGGGGCTTCACTTGCTGTGTCAGAGCTGCAAAGCCTAATCAAGCGCGATCTTTTGATTATAGGTGAAACAAGGTGTATTTTGGGGGATCTGGAATGTATTGGGATTCTGTGAGGTCTAGGCTTAGTAGTTGATGTTGAGGTTCCTACTGTAGGTGTCAGTTGTACTGTTCTGCAGAATTTTGGGGGTATCACTTTGATACCTCCCTTTCGTTGTATCTGGTTTTGTTTGGCTTCTTGCTATGTTTAATAAGAAGAGGGCACCTGATTCAACGAAAAAAAAAAAAATATATTATATTTAAATGCAAAATATAAAATATGTTAGAGAAAAATAATGATTATTTCTAGACAAAAATACATATTCATGTGTATAATCGGGCGAGTTCGGGTTGGATAGTGAGAAAACCATGCCCACCCATTAACTCCAATATTCGGGTTCAGATTTTACCCGTACCCACTAAAAGTCCTTCAGGTTCGGGTTTTATCCTACCCGATTAGGTAAGATTATGGCGGATATCCACGGTTACGGATACTTTGTCATCCCTACTTATCTTATCCCCTGGATATTTCCATAAAGAAAGCAAGAATTCATATGGATCGAGTGGATGTGGGATGAATACATGTGATTCTCTCTTAACACTTCTATCGAAATTTTATAAGAGAAGTTGATTGTAGTTTTCGAAAAATTTACGATATATAGCAGATAATTCGAACCTATAGTCTGAAAAATAGAAAATTATGTTTGCTCATAATAATCGATGGTGGAAACCATACATGATTTTTTTTCTTTTCCCGTGGACACAAAGAAAAGACATGCTTTGAATTTTTTTTTTGGGATGGCGAGTAACATTGATGTGTGGTTATTGTTTATGTCAAACGAGATACATACGTAGATAATAAAGATCTTGCTATTCCTAATATTATTAGCTAGGGTTATTCAATGTCTCCTTTGGATTGCATAAATCCAGTGTGTTTATCCATGCCTTTCTTTCTCTAGGTGGGATCATGCTTTTCAGTGGACGTGGGAGCCAATTCAGTTTTTCTTTGCTCCAAAGCCTCTTTCCCTGGAAGGGAAACAATAATATCCCCCACAAAGTTTTGAAAAGAAAAAAATGATATTTTCTTCTTCATTTCAATAAGAAAAAACATAAGAAGGTACCCTTTTTGAAGGTCGAAATGTTTAACACAAGGAACACAGAATTTTGATTTAGATGCAAGTTACCTCGTTTAATGAAATCTCAATTGACTATAATGTCAAGAATTTCCTTTAAAGTTTTTGGGGATTAACTTAAAACTTGAACCCTAATTTTGCTCAAGTAATGACCCACATGTCCATTAGGAAGAGAGACAATCCATCCCATTTGCAGGTGGTGGGTTTCTGTATGTTATTATCATTTTGCATATATATTTCATAAATTCATGAACCTAAATGGCAAAATGTCCATTCCTAGAGATGCCCACTTGGTGAATCAAAGACATATGATGCCGAGTTCTTACCAGATTACAGACAGACATGGATGCCTAAGCAAGGTGGTGGTGGTGGAAACCGTACCACAAAATATCCCTAATAAAAATAGGATTTTGAACTCCCTCACTCATAAAGTACCCTTCCGCGGCGTAAGATACCGGCAGGTTTGTGGCGAATTTCGCTAAATTTATCCTCATTCTCATTTTTCAGATCGTAAACCCATATCATCTCCATTCTTATTCCGGCAGTTTTCATATATAAGTGAATAATATCCGCCCTAGAAACCCGAACCAAACTCCATGCGGAGATTCTCTTCATTAAGTTGTTCGGAGAGGGTCGGATACATACAGTTTGTATGTACAATTGTCATTCCTACAAGGTGCAAACATTACATGGGAAAATTGCATCTAAGTACTTGATTTTCCATAATATGAGATCATGGTGCACACGTATGAAATTAAGATTTAACACGGAAAGAA